TCTTATCTCTTAAAGTGCAATCATACAACTTTTTGTTTTCCAATGATACCCCCAAAAAGACAAACAAAAATTCTAACATATGGGGTCAAAATAGATATTTGATAATTTTTAGAATTCAGAATTCGGAGTCCATAACAACATTCTTTGCATTTAGAGTTCAGAGGAAATAAAAGTTCACCAAAACCATTATACTTCTTATGATATTATTGCACTTTCAGATGTCAGACTTTAGAGCAAATGAACATGCCCTAAGTATAAAGGATTTTGTTCAAGTATTTTAACAAGCAGTTAAGCTGCTTTAAATAAACTAAAAGATTATGTTTAAGTTCCGGTGACTGATATACAACTTTTCGGCTTAATAATCCTTTGTACTTCTACTCAATAGCTAAGGGAAGATCATAGTGATATATAGTTGCATATGGGGTGATACCTACAAGTCAAACAAATTATTACTTAGATTTATGTTCGTTTTCCCCTTGCTCAGTTGATCAGAGGTATCAAAGTTAGAAATGGTGGAATGCCACCAGTTACCATTGCTTATAGGTCTAATATTTAAAACCAATTCAGCTAGTACAAATGCAAAATGTTATTAGACTAGTACTAAGGAGGATCAGAGTCGGCGTTTCAAGTACTAGATTGAACCAGGGAATTAAATGGTTGAACAATGAAGTTGGATCATTTGAATTCATAACTGAATAACTAGTCAGAAGAAACATGGCTCAATATGGTTTCGGTGTTCTAAATTAGTAACCAAAATATTGTCCGTCTCCTTTTGAATTTCTTAAAGATAACTAAACTTATTCAATGGATATTGTATCCAAATATATTACAATAGGGGATTTTGGGTTGATCATATGGCTATATTTGAAATGATACATTTTGAAATGGATTGATGTGTTGTGCTTAAACTAGGTTTTATATTTGTTTTTAGTAAAAAAAACAAAAAAAATAACAATAGTAGTGGTTGTGAACCTGTGATGTCTTGATTATAAGAGGTTATCAATTTGCCTAGGCCTTAGCAAGATAATAGCTTGGAGAGTTGTCCTTTTGGCTTTAATTTTAGTCGTTTTGTTTGTAAAGCATTATGGACTATTTGTAAAAGTATTGTTTTCCTGACGTTTTTATGTCTATGATTTATTTTTTATCATCTCTCCTATAAATGCTTTGTTTTTCCCATTTCATTTATTATGTTTGTACATATGTGATTTATTTACTTCAAACATTTTTTTTGTGCACATTGAATATCACATTGCATCAAGTAAGTTTAGTATCCCAATTTGTATAATTTGTTATTGATATGCTTTAATAAAATTTCTTCTTTACTTACCAAAAGAATAAGTCGACTAAGGCTACAAGTTACTAATGTATGAACAATGCCATATGAGAAAAAAAAAGTATAACAGAAAGAGAACATGATTTAGTTATTTTGTTATAAATCAACTAAAACCTTCACATGAGGACCAATAGTTGATAAAGAAAACCATACAAAAGAAAAAAAAAGAACATAGACATGTACTAATTCTATAATGCAGACCATCATATCCTAAAAGCATTATTACACAGCAAGACAGGTGAGAAAAGGATAAAGAGTGAAAGGTTGGCCAGTGTTATATGCTTAGCGCTTCTTTTTGTGAAGTAGTTCTCTGAACCAGTAGGCAGCCATCTTTGGGTACCTTTTAAGGGTTCTGAAGTTGATATAGACTATGCCAAACCTTGTTGTGTACCATAATCTCCATTCAAAAGAGTATATGAGTGACAATGTAAAGTAGCCAACCACATTGACCCCATCATCTATTGCCTTTTTTCTAGTAAGTGGTTCATACCAAATAAAATCCAAGACAATACCAATCATTCATTTTTGGCGTGCCTATAAATCATGCAATCAGATACAGAAGCTCGACAATCATGGCTTTGAATGATTTCACATAGAAAAAACAAATTAACACATGATTGAGTTTTGACTTGATACTTTTCACTATATATCTGAATTGCAGCTGCATGATACAAAATCATATTACGGGCCACAATGGAAGGCTCTGTTGCAAAATTACTAGCTATACAGTTCCCATATGCTTTTAAACACCTTCTGGAAGCACTACCCCCATTACCATAGCCATAAGTAGAGACCGCTGCTGGTTCATTCAGTGTTATCCAATTCATCACCCTGTCACCAAATGTCTTAAAACAAAATTTTGTGAACTTGGCATAGTCCTTCTTGTATTGTTTTGCATTAGTTGTTGAGATTTCTTATCAACTAAAAATTTAAAGGCTAAGTATAAAGGATTTGGTTCAAGTATTTTAATAAATAGTTTAAGTTCTAGTGTGAAATATGAACACAAACTAATTGAATAAGATTGTTACATAATAGTGCAAGATCTTCTCTTTTAGCATTCCTCCTATGCTTTACAGGTGTGGTGACACTTTTTTCATTGGTTGAAAGAGAATTGGTAATACTTCTTGAAGTAGCTGATTTGTTCAAAACAAATATCATGGATTTTGTGGGATAGTATACACAACAATTTTGTGGAGTTTAGGGTCTGATACAAATGCGGGAAATTTTCTAGCATATTTTTTAATGAAGATAAATACATGTTGAATAGTTAATTAAACTCATAACTTGAAGAGCTCTACATTGGACCATCATCTATAAAGAATTTTGTCTTATCTCTTAATGATTAATTGAGATGATGGGATACCTTTTTGGAAGGCTCTATTATGATTTTGTATCACTCTTTATAATGCATATGTGGTTGACAATATGACTTCACAAAACCAATTAATTCGATATATGTACCCTTGCAAATATATATAGACGCCCAACACTAAAGTGAAAATAACTTTACTATTTTATAATTTTATTGAAACTATTATTTTTTCCCACCCTCATTTACACATGTTTTTTTAGAAACTTTTTTTTTACCTCCCACTTGCCTTGCAACGCCGGGGCCTCTCCATTAGTTTAAATGATTGTGGGAAAACAAATTGAATTATGTAGGTTGAATGGTTTCTCCTATGTGTTCAATAGGGTTCAATTGACTTGATGATGAGCGTATACAAGAAAGAGTTCAATAACCTAGGGGGCTATCTTGTTGATATGAGCAGAGTAATTCTTTAGTTGTTACTTTATGGGAGATGTTCCCAATGCACGGTGGAATGTGCCTATGAGATTGTTGTAAGGCGCCTTGTGTGAGGAGCATATCCCACTTCACTTATTTCCGTGCTAACCTATCTTGGCTCACTACATCATTTTGAAAATACCTATACTACCCTTATTTAAAATTTGTGAGTTTCACCAAAGGCTCACAATTGCTTATTAGAATAAGCACTTCCTTTTTAATAGCCTATTTTCGATGCTTTAGGGCATGTTTGGGAGGGCTATAGTTTCAATTTAGGGGTGGATTTGAGCCAAGTCAAGCCGAATACTATCAGGCTCGAGCTCGGCTTGAGATTGTTCTACAAGGCTAAAGCTCGAGCTCAAGCTCGACTTGAGTAAAAAATTCATAAGCTTGAGCTCGATTTTGGAACAAATATTTTATAAAAATAAAAAATTATATATAAAAATATTTTTTATTTGATATTTAAAAGATTAAGAATTATAATAATTAGTGATTATAATAATTTTATTATATATATTATTTTCTATAATTTTATTATATATATATATTCGAGCCAACTCACGAGTCGAGCTCGGCTCGTTTAATAATCAAGCCAATGATTGGGCTCGAGCTCGAATATCTCGTGAAAAAGCTTGGCTCGTTGCCACCCATAAGTTTCATTGTGCTTCAACCCTTCAGCTGCTTTGAAAAAGCTTCACTAGAAAGCTTTTTTTTTTGGTTGAACGACAACATAGTTGGGCTTTCTGAAATAGGTTGTTCATATGGGACCATGTTGAAAGGGCATGTCTATGTGAAAGCCCAAATGGGCACTTAATGTGGCTGAAACCTGTTCACGGGCCCGGCTTCGAGCATGACTTACACTGTGTCGTGCTCAGGCTTTGGACTGGGCCCCATTCAAATTTTGGCAAAAGCCAAGCCCGAGCCCGGCCCATGAAAAGGTAGCGGTCAATAGATCAATAGTGATGCATGATAAAAAAAAGCAAAACAGTACAAAAAGCAACAACCCATCAAATGGGTTAACCATTCAACCATCCGGGTTGATGGATTATTCGATGGGTCACCCAGGTTGACCTGAACCAAAATTGTGATCAGGTGGTGGGCCAACCAGGTCCGACTGGTCCAAAACAGTACCCATTTCAACATTCATCAAATCCCACATAAATAAATCGGGTTGGGGTGGGGGGATCGGAGAAGAGAATTGTCTGATACTCATGTGAGCATTCCACAATCAATCTACTTGGTACCTTACTACTACCTCATGAGTCATGACATGGACTGATGTTTCTGAGAAAGTCATTCATTCAACCAGACAAAACAAAAAGACACTAGAAAAAGCAAATCCATCCCAGAACCAGATGTGTGGCTGGGATTGAACCAAACCCCATCTGGACCATCTCCATGATAGAGCATCCTTTTAGTGACAAAGCACTTGTGACAACAATACACTGAGCAAAGCTCCCACCTCTACTGTCAAAGAAGCCAAAAAGCTGACCGGTTCCATTCATTCAGGCCAATCCATTCTCTGTGGGTCTTCCACATGGATAAGCCCAACTGCCAAAGCCCAAAAAAGTGGCCGAGGATGTGGACGTTAGTAGACCACTATTCCAGTCAGCAGTCCGTAGACGCACGCCCTGTCTGGAGTCCTTCGGTCCTTTCCTTCCCCCTTTTGCCTCCCATCAGTGTCTCTTGTGAAGCCACAGTAAGAGGGAAACCAGCTGCGATCACAATCGACGGCCAGGATGGCTTGACCAATCGCCCCCTTCGATCACGCATCGAACGGTCGCAATCTCTTCAACCTGATACACGTGGCCGTCGTTCAGTACCTGCTCAGCTCAGGCTCAGCCCGCCTCGAAGAACTACAACTATGCACTTTCATCATTCATTTCTCTCCCCGCCTCTCTCTGCTTCTCCAACGCATGTATTTTCTCTGCTGCAGACGATACCGCAGCAGAGGAGAGAGCATCTAGGCGGAGGTACCCGGATTCCATTCGGTGCAATTCATACTCTATTCGGTGTTCTGTGCTGTTTCCCTCCGGTCTCGATATCTGTCAATCTCTATAGTGATTTCTGCAGAGCATTTCCGCTTAGCGGCTGAGAAATCGCCGGAGTTTGTCGCTGGTTGCGGGTGCTGACATGGAGGAAGGGTAGGGCTTCCGGGGTTTTTGGAGATGGATAACTCGTGGCAGAGCAAATGCAGTTCGAGTTGGCAGCAGTCGGCGGCGCCGGCGCTGCCTTCGCCGTCACAGTTATTACCGCAAGGATCTCGGAACCAGGTATAGAGCAATAATCTGGGGTTTTGATAATCTATTTTTTTTTTGATTTTTGTAGTATTTGCATGCATGATTGATGGCTTTGGTGGTAGTTCTAAGCGGTTTTAAGTACAGTAGAATAAGGAATGGTGTTGCTGATGTTGGGCGAAATGGTGGATGGGTGTTAGTGTGATTGGATAAATGGTGCCTTTTGTAATGTAGTATGATTTGCTCGATCAGTGATTGATTGGGTAGCACCTGTAGACTGGGTGGTCTCGGTGAACACAGTCTTGATGCTTGTAGCGAATGGGTTGCGGGGGAAGTCTACTTAGGTGTGTACTACCATCTCCTAGCGCTACTGGGCATCGATATTTCTTGAGCATTTTCACTGGGATAGTTACTGTGATACTTGCAATGATATTGTGCTATCTTGAAGTACTGAAGAATGAAAGGGACCTCTCTCTCTCTCTCTCTCTCTCTCTCTCTCTCTCGCTCTCTCCCTCTCTCGCTCTCGGTCAGATAAGTTGTGGTGGTGCGAGCTTCAGCATATAGGTGGATTTTTTTTTATTATAATATTGTCAATGGCAATCATACCGGTTACCTTTTCTAATATTAATGATTTTGTCTCTAGATGGAGATAAACGCAGGTCACCCTTTTCAATCCTATTCTGTGCAAGAGTTGAACTTCACAAACCGTGAAGTCATGCAAGAACCTTTGGTATTCAGCACACTGAATTTAGGTTCGTCCACTTCTAGCAAGCCTGAGCTGGCAAATTCTTTCCTAGCTCTCCTATCTGGTTCATCATCGCAGTTGCAATCCGAATTCCAGCAGCTGTCAAATTCAAAATCAACCATGATTGCTAGTAAGCTTCCAATTCATGATATCAGTGTTATGGTCAACCGTGCTGGCTGTGGAGGTCCAATTACTCCCAGTGTGCAGTTCTCTCAGCCTCAGGGAAATGAAAACATGAGAAACGATGCAGATGTTTGTCCAATTGCTCCATCCAAGATCATTTCAACTGCTAGCTGTGGTCGTGTTTCTGTTTTGCATGATAACCTTCAAATGGCAAGTCTAAATTGTCAGAATGTAGGTTCTCCCAAGACATCCATCCATCACACCGTTCAAGGCAATGAGAGGGGAGTCAATCCTAGGTGGGGTTGGTTTTCAAGTACAAACCCCAGTGCTCAGCTACATACAAAAAATATTCAGGCTTCAATTAATATTCCATCAGAGACAAAAGCTGCTGGACTTGATCATTCTTCTACTACAAGACGACATCCACGTGTATTTTGCTTGGGTACAAGTGAGTGCCTTTGACACATTATTTCTCATTTCTCATTTGTTTTTTTTTTTTTTTTGTGAGAACATTTCTTCTCATTTAACTTGAAATATTGTTAACATTTCTAAAAATTTTTCTATATGAATTTTGGAAGGTGGAGATCTATTACTCAGCAACACAGGGCTAATTGGAGTTGTATGTTTATGTCATAATTTGCATATGTCTATCTCGAAATTTTGTGAGGTAAATGATAGAGATTAAGCTTATTACATAATAGATGAATGTCTACTACCGGCACTGAGTTGTGTGCATTCATGAATCACGATATAAGAAAAATACTCTTACAACAGTTATTTTACAGCATTCAGGATTGTGTGCTGTTAACCCTGGAGATGCTGTTCGTCTGGAGAGTGGGGAGACCATTTCTCAGTGGCGTAGGCTTTACTTCCACAAGTTTGGGGTAAGATAGGCATGTGCTGTCTGGTATTTTACATCTTATGAACATTGAGCTCCCTTCTCTGGTATACCTGGTCATAAGATAGGTGTGCCTATTGTAAGATAGTGGATTTATACAAGTACATTAACCCGGTTGACTTGGCATAAAATCCAGGTTAGACCAGATTGGATCAAACCGATTGTCCACCAACTATTTACAAGCAACTCAAGAGCTAGAATCTTCTACCCATATGGGGACCCATTAACATCATATTGATTAAAACAATTAAGGGGAGGATAGGCCTGTGTTCTCTCTCTCTCTCTCTCTCTTCCTTGAACCACCGACCTCTGCAACCACCCCCATCTTCCTTGGGGTTTTTGGAGTTGGACTATCCTCATCCCCTGATCAGGTTTACACCTATTTGAAAATTTTAAGATTCCATGAGTGTCAATTAACCTTTTTGAATATTATATTATTTAATATCAAGATTCAAAATATGGCAATGATTGGGGCATATTTGTATGGTTCCAGCAGTGCCCTGGTATGCTAAATAATATGCATTTTACTGTGTGACCACATTCAGGGGGTAGCCAGGCCAAAGACCGACCCCCTGTACAATTTTGGAAAAAAAGAGGAGTGTGCATTTGAAACACCAGATACACAAGTTCGTGCTTATCGGGTATCGACCCCCTGTACAATTTTGGAAAAAAAGAGGAGTGTGCATTTGAAACACCGGATACACAAGTTCGTGCGTATTGGGTATCTCAATATTTTGAACCTTGTTTAATATGCCATAAATTGAACATTGGATATCTCTATCTCATTATCGCATTGAACATTTTTTTATCATCTTTTAATGAATAAGAATGCCTTCTCCCTGCCTATCTGTCAACAGCAATAGGGTTAGTCTCCACTTTGTCCAGCTAACCTGTAAGCCATGAGAAAAATGGACCCCCTCAATCATTTAGGTTAACCATAAATGATATGGGATTCTGTAGCTGCTGCCATGGTTTCTTTCTTTATACCACTGTTCATAACTTCATATTTGTTTCCCCCCTATGGCAATGGTGCAATGCTTATATTGTGGGATGCAAGGAACTTCTGTTCTTCCTCTGCAGCCTGGGCAGGCCTGATATTTGTACTTAGCATCTTCTGTATATAATTGAATGCATTGCAGGTGCAGTTACCTTTCACATTTATGCATATTTTTTTAGATAAATTATTTGTTAGGTGAATAGTACTTTTTTCATGTGCTTCTATTTACTTGAGACTTTCCAGGGATTTGCGGTATTTAGCTACGAACTGTATTTTGCTTAAAATATTTACCTCCTGATTCTCACAATTATTGCCACTTAACTGAGTCTGAATTTATTATTTGTACGACCGTGGCTTATACGCGGATTATCTATCTTCTGAAAATTAAAGTTCTACTTGTTAGTGGTATATTTTATTTGTAGCACATAAAAATCAGGTGGTGATGTTTTTCTGATGCTTTAGATTAGGGTTCCTGATGACCATAGTGGATGGGACTGGCCTGAAGAATTTTTAGCAACCAGTGGTCTGGTGAAATACCAGACAACTGTGCCAGACATGCACAAGAACTCCGAAATGTTTCAACCAGTTGATTCACTTGGAGAACTAGCAAGACCTGGAAAATATTGGAATAATATTTTGTCTTCTAGGAACCAGCATACACAACAAAGTGCTGTACAAAAGCCAGCCAACAACATCATGCACTATGCCCAACAGAGGAATAGTCAGGAGGAAAATAATCTTCTTGTCAAGAATTCGATTGGAACTTCGCATAACGTCTTGCCTGCCATGGTGGATAAGCAGATAATTGAGGAAAATCCCATATCCAGGGGTTTGACAATGCCAACTTCAGCTCACAACAAAAGGCGGCAAGACAATGGATACCAGTCCATTTCTGATTATATTGACTTCATTACAAAAGGTGGCAATCTATTTGTTTCAAACCCAAGTTTGGGGTGTTTAAAATCTCCTGGGACTAATTCTGATACCAACAGATGCAACAGTTCAAGGGAGGCATTTATTATGGATAGAGATGGAATGCCTTCAAATATTGAATTGAGGCTTGGTCAACCGTCCCAGCAGAGTTGTACAATGTGCACTTCAGTTCTGCCAGCTGCAGGGCCTCAACCACTTGACACACTTGGTAACTCCCAGAAGTCTCAATTCCAAGGACATTTGATCCATAGTAGTGAGTTTGAAGATGCTATTTTCTTAGTTTGTTTTCTGTAATCTATTTTTGTTGTCCTCTATCTTTGTTTATTGCTAGCTGTACTCCATTGTTCAGGTGAATAGTTGTGGGTTATGTGATGCAGTGTTTAATCCCAGGGTAACAGAGGAATCCCGGCAAAATGTTCGTTGCAATCCTTCAGATGCAACAATGTCCTATGGAAGAGAGACAGAATGCCAAGTGAACCCCATGCACCATGCTCTTGGAAGTAGCAACACTATATATCCTGCTAAAGTTGAACAGTTTAAGACTGACGCTACTAAGAACTCACTTATTTCAATGTTTCTTTCACACTTAAATGCTGCTTCTGGAGGGGACATCCAGCCCCAAGCTGCTTGTAATATTGTTAGTAGCAATGAGCAGTTTATGCCTGGGGTACCGTGCAATGAATCTCATATATCCAAATGTGATCCAGCTGCTCTCCAATGGAACAGAAGCGAAGGAACAGAAAGGCAGTCCGGCAAACAAGGGCCGGGCCTTCACAATCAGATGGATAAAGGGAAAGGGGTTAGAGTTTCTGATAATTGCTATTTTGTTCCACCTAGAATAAGCTCTGTGTTTCACAGTAAGCAGGTGCCAAATTCAGGCCCCTCTACTGGAGTTATTGGTGGGTATTGCCTTCCCGGTAGTTCAACAGTGTATGAACGACAATCATCTGTTGTAGGCCAACCATCTGCCATGTTATTAGATGCCAACAGGCAATCCAATCAATTTGGAAAGGTGTCTTGCACTGGAAGCAGTGGTCACCTAGATCATGCTTTTCTCAGATCAATCCATTCTTCTCTTGCAACTGCTGGATCAGATATGCCTGTGTCAGTCATTTCAGTAGGCTCCTCTTCCGCAACTTCAATGTCTAGACCCAATCTGATGCCAGCCTTTTCAAACAAGGAGGGTATGAATGTAAATCCACATTTACTGGATGAGAATTTGAGATTGCTTGTATTGAAGCATATAGCTGAGTTGTCTAAGCGAGAGAATGCTATTGCTTCCCATGATATGAACCCAGAACAAGTGAGATTACATAGCTTTTCTAGTACTGAATTGCAGAGGAAGGGAATTATGGAAGATCCATTTGCAGCTGAAGAATCAAGGGAAGGACCTTATCCCAAGAGTAAACAGGATACTTCCAAAGTTTCGAAACCACTACAATCTTGCTCTAATTGCTACACAAGTGGTGGTGTGGGGAAGTTGGCTGATGTTGGAGGTTACTTCTCTTAACACAAACTGCTTTTTTTTTTCACATTTGTTGATTTTATAGGATGTCTGCACTGCAGTTCAGGAGTTTCTGCTTTGATGAATTAGTGAACGGCATCTTATCCTTTTATATATTGGTCTATTATAATTATTACCATGTCACGTTGATGCAGATCTAAATAACTGGTGCAATTCTTCAGCAATATCTGCACAGGGAGTTGCAACACATTGTAAAGAACCTGACATTCAGTTCCTATCTTCTCATGATGCTCTTACATATGAGCAACCTTTGCTTAGGTGATTTCCATTTCTGCAATTCATTATTTTCTAATAATGCCAGTTCAATACAAAAAACTTAATTTGAGAAATCTTAATGGAATTACACTGACAAAATTTATTATCTGCTAGATTATATTAAGGAAATATTCCAAAGTTTTCTTTCATGCAACCTCATATTTTCAATAAAGGGGAATGCTTATGCTAGATTACATTAGGAGAGGTATCTTCTATCCCTTACCAACAAAATTAGAGTAAATCCAACATCCCGATGGAGTATTTCACTTCAAGGAATACTGCTTTGGGCCACTAAAAGGATTAGGACCTATAAAGATAACTGACAAGAAAGAAGCTTCCTTTTAATATTATTTGACTCTGTGTATTGAGAACCATGTTGAAGCTAGGCATTAAAATAGATTTTAGGGCAGGCAGCATATTTGAGTCATTTCAAAGATGGATTCATATGCAAGAAACCAATAAGAGATTTGTTTCTTTTGTAAATTGTCTTTTTAAGTAAAAGCCAGGCATCTCTTAATCACATATTTATCCATGCTGTGTGGAATCTGTTTGCATTTTATCTAGGTTAATGTTTAATTTGCAAGAAAGATCCTTGTTAGCATTTACTTTTCCGTGTTTACTTACCATGTTACTTCATTTGCATTTGTTGTGTCTGTCATGTTAATTATCAAAAAAAAGTATATGTCATGATCTTTTCATTTTTATTTCAGACTTGGGAGGATGGGAAACACTGCCACTGCATCTGTTGAGCATGGGAAACATTGTCATAAAGAACCAAATTCATCCTTTCCAGGTAAATGCAGCTGTGCAGTTCACTCGGTGTGTTTAGCAGGAAATTGTATCCTCAGATGTGAAGGTTCTCATGATACATATAAAGAACATGTTGGGACTGTTGGTGGAAAATCTTCAATGTTGGTTCCTTCCCTATTTGATAATGGTCATGCAATCCCTGAGGAAAAAGCAAATGCAGTAGGCCAAAATGAAAACTTGAAAAGTCAACTTGAACTCCCCATGAATGACTATCATGCTACTCAGTGGAGAGATGTCCCAGGCAAGGTGATGGGGGTTTGTAATTCTGCTCATGTCAAAAAGGTCACTGAGGATGTGGTACTTGATGACAGAGGAAATGTTGAGGATCAATTTGCAGATACTGCTGCTATAGGCTTAAAAAGAAGCCTTCAAGAGGCTGAGTCTTTGAAAGAGCAACAGATGTCTAATGTCTGTTCAGGATGTTCTGCACCTGCTGTCACTGAGGTATCAGTTGAGGTTAACAATATGGACTCTTATACTGTAGTGGCTGGGGATGCTAGATATATGAATGATCTTGTAGTTGATGAAGGGTCAGGAATTGAAAAGTGCTGGTCTTCAGATGATTCACTTGACAGTGAAAGTGGTGAAACCCTTCGTGTTACCGGTAAGATTGAGAAAATAAAAGGACTATCCTCAGCTTTACCAAATCAATCATTACGAGGTCTTAATGAGGTTAAGGTTAAAAGCTTGTATAATTCAAAAAAGGTTCGGAATCGACTTCATGCTGGGTTTACTTTTAATGACAACATCAATCATGCACAACAATTACAGAGGGAGCTGAAGCATGGAAAGAAAAAGAAGGCAATGAAATGGAAGAGGCTGGATGCAACATGTCCTGACTCTGGTCTTTCTTCAGTACATTATGATTATCCAAAACTTACTGGGTATACTGAGCTAAACTTATGTTCATCCAAGGAGATGCAAATGCCTTATCGATCTGATCATGGAATGCCTAAAACACGTATTTATTCTAATGGGCCTTCAAGTCTAAAACGAAAACGCTCTGCTCTATCTTCTGCCAAAACACTGTCTCAGAAGAGAGATCTGTATGGACTTGATGGCCACCAAAGAGAGTGGGAAAATGATCATCAAACACAGGCAAATGATGATTTGAGCTTTCTTAGGGAACCGAGGCTTTCGGGTGGAAAGAATTTGAAACAGGATTGGACAATGGATATGAATAAGAAGTTAAAAAAGCTGGATATGAATTGTGTAATCACCGAAAAAGCTTCCAAGTACAATTCATTAACCTGTATAAAAAACACAGCCAATAGTCAGGTGGACACTTGTGATAAGACAGCAAGGCCTGTGGTATGTGGAAATTCTGGAATTATTTCCAATGGAAAACTGGCTGAAGGAATAGCAAAGCCACCCAAAATTCTCTCTCTCAGCACAATTCTTAAGAAGACTAGAAAATGTAGCATCACTGAAGATGAACCTAGTCTGGCTACCATGTTAGATATAAAGAAGACAAACTCAAAAAGAAGAAAAGTTTGCCATGATGACCAATCCATGTTGAAGAAAGAAGGAGAAAATAAAGCTTCCAAAACTGCAGTACAAAATGGATTGGAACCTGGGACTTCTATAAAAGAAGCAAAGGATGGATGCTATGGTAGAACCGAGGTACATGCTTCTGAAATATCCATATTGAGGAAGGAGCACAATGATGGCAGTAACAAAAAACATGGTGCATTGCACAATTTATCTAGTGTTCGGTTGAAGCCAAAGTTTAAGGAAATGCGCAAGCGTAGCCTCTATGAGCTAACAACAAAAGGTATATTATGAAAAAATAGTTTGCTTACTTCTTATCTATCAAATGATGTATGTTCTAATCATTGGAAGCAGGGTGGCACCTGATATTTCTTCTCTCTGTGTTCTAGTTGATGCTGTAGCTTGTGATTTGTGCTACAAAGTTTACTGCTTCATCAAAAAGCTTCAATTTTGAATGATATACAAAGATTCACACCATAGTTGTAACTTGTGCTTGGATCTGTTATTCTGTTTTTACATGCCTTTACTACTGGCTTTTCTGTTGCATCATTGACCATTCAGCCTGTTATGCATACAGGAAAAATTCCTAGTTCTGTAAAACTTTCTCTTACAAATATATCAAAATGCAAGCTGGAAAGCAAATGTATATCTAGTGGCTTGTCTTCTTTAAAGGATGCTGAAGATAGTCAAGATCAAACAGATGAAATGTATCAAGAATATTCCAAGTAAGCATTTCAATTGATACTTACATATAACTTAGAATATTCCAAGCAGTAAGTGTTTCAATTGATACTTGCATATTATTAACTTAGAATATTTCAGGAATAATCCAAGAAGTAAGCATTTCAATTTAAAATCAATTGAGCTTAAGTGAAATTTGAATTAGCTGACCTTTATATTTTATGGTTCAGATCCATTAAGGAGCGCACCTACCAGGCTTTTATTTTGGATTCAGATGCATTCTGCTGTGTGTGTGGGAGCTCAAACAAAGATGAAACTAATTGCTTATTAGAGTGCAGCCACTGCTTAATCAAAGTATGCTGTTATGAAACTTTATGTTTAATTTTAGTGCCTTAACAGTCAGATATGCGATAATAATGGCGTTAATTGAATTGGTATCCTTGTATGCAGGTGCACCAGGCTTGCTATGGTGTTTCAAAAGTACCTAAAGGTCGTTGGTGCTGCAGGCCGTGCAAGACAAATTCAAAAAATATTGTAAGATACTTTAACATTTTTTGATACTTTATGCTGCACCTGTTGCCTGTTGGGGCAGGCCAGGTCTCTTTTATGATCATGAATACAAATTACTATGAATTTGATTGGAAAAATTATGTATGTTAAGTATTAAATCCCACCTTGATTAATAATAGTTTACTTCCATTAAGTTCTTTCTATTTCTTTATGTTATTAATTTTGGGATGATTGAGTCATATTGTTGAGGGACAAATCAAGGGGATTGCTGAAGCATGCAAATTTATAATGATTTGGAAACTGAACTCTTGATTAATGTTGGCCTTAGTTTGGGAAAAGAAAATTTAAATAATCAGAAAATTAAGGAAGAACCATTAGGATAGTGCTTGGAAGAATTTCTGGACCTACAAATACCTAGGTAATATAATATTATTCGAATTAATGTAGGTCTTGATTATGAACCATTAGGATAGTTCTCGGAAAATTAAGGAAGAACCATTAGGATAGTGCTTGGAAGAATTCTTTTTTTTTTTTTTTGAAAGGTAAAGTATGGTTTTATTAAATCAGATAGTACAAGTTACAACAAAAAAGCTAGCCACTAAAGGACTAGACAGAGCACTAAGCCAAGTTACAGACTCCAAATGGACTTGGATCTAGACAAATCAGGTACATTCAGGTTCTTAAAGTCAGGAGTAACAGATACCCAAGAAATCAGCTTGCTGATCGCCTGCTGCACTACCTCATCAGTGCTCTTAGTCTTGTTACAAAAGAATCTCTTGTTTCTCTCTGACTAGATTACCAAAAGAACAGCCTCAGGAATTATCTTCCATATTAATTTTCCTTGTTTCTCCAGGCCTGTAATCTCCAAGCTAAACAGAAGGTCGTTGGCTGAACTTGGCATGGCCCAGCAAAGTCCAACAGCCCTGAGGAAGTGATCCCACACTCTAGAGGAGATAGGACAGTGGATGCACAGATGGTCTGTGGATTCAGGCAATAGACCACAGAGACCACATAGCAGAGAAGAGAGATGAAGACCCCTCCTATCCAAATTGATTTTAGAGAGGCATTTGTTCAGCACCATTGTCCACACAAGGAAGTTAGATTTAGAGGGAGAACTAGGATTCCAAACTTGCTTACAGGGAAAGTTAATACTACCAGTGCTACTGAGTTTAGAGGTCAGGGATTTTACTGAGAAGCAGCCATCCCTACTCCAGATCCAGGTCCATTCATCCTCACTGTTGATATCTATAATCTGACCCTGTAACAGGTCCAACAGCTCCAAGACCCCATTTACTTCCCAATCAAACACGCTTCTTCTGAACTGAGGGTTCCAGACCACTGTGTTATTGGAGAGAGAATAAGCCATTGATACTTCTTGATTTGCTGCACATTGAAAAAGAAGGGGAAATGCCTCAGCTAAAGGTCTATCCAAACACCAAGGATCTTTCCAAAACTTCAGCTTGTTCCCTCTATCCACATTAATTCATACATCAAAGGTAGACTTTTGAGAATACCTTTCCAAGAGCAACCCCAATTTGGGAATGGATCTTGTGAATTCCGGTTTCCCCAATCCACCCCATACTTAGAGGCAATTAAATTCCTCCACCAGGAATTTCTTTCAGAAGCAAACCTCCAGCACCACTTACTCAGAAGAGCAGAATTTACCACCTTCAACTTTCTTAGGCCTAGACTCCCTTCCTCCCTAGGCAAACAAGCTTGATCCCATTTCACAAGATGAATTTTTCTCTCTTCTTCCCATCCCCTCCAGAGGAAATTCCTCTGTAGATTTTCAAGCTTCTTAGCTACTTTGGCTGGAATGGGAAAGAGGGACAGGAAGTAGGTGGGAAGATTGCCCAGGGTACTTTTGATAAGAGTCACTCTACCTCCAATGGACAGGTACTTAGCCTTCCAAGAGGCTTGTTTTTTCTCCACTCTCAATAACTGGATCCCAAATAGCAGAGGAGAAATACTTAGCCCCAAGGGGAAGGCCTAGGTACTTCACAGGAAGGAAGTCCACTTGGCAGGCCATCAAGCTAGCACAATCTTCCAAGTTTGGAATAGGACCCACCGGAATGATTTTGCTTTTGTGGAGGTTAACTTTAAGACCTGAAACCACTTCAAACCAGCACAGTACTCCAAATAAGAGCTCCAACTGATCAGTTGAGGCATCTAGGAAACATAGGGTATCGTCTGCAAACTGCAAAATATTGACCTTTTCTTTTTTTGATCAATAAACATGTATTTTATTAAAATTCAGATTGTAAGCAGTTTATACAACTTGGTGATGGGACTGTTGATCCCCTTTAATCACTCTATTCTATCCCTCATTACAATGCAGCCCAAAATAATTGCTGTCTCAATGCCCCCTGTTTTGCTAAGCCATCAGCTAGCCCATTTACACTTCTTCGGACCCGTTTAAATTCAGCCTCAACCTCCTTTGCAATCTTCTCTATTTCCCTAATCACATGTTTAAACGTCCATGGGGTATGGATTCTGTTTGCTACCCATGAAATTTCTACTTTTGAGTTCCCTTCCACTTTAACATGTCTGTATCCTAGCTGTTTGGCTAGCTTTAACAAATATTGACCTTTTCTGCTTCCGGGGTAGTAGCAAAACCTTCCCAAAGCCCGTTAGCCGCAGCCTTGAGGGAGAATTGGGACAGAATTTCCATTAGGCAAGTGAAGAACAAGGGTGATATAGGGTCACCTTGTCTAAAGCCCCTAGAACTTTCAAAAAACCCTGCAGACTGGCCATTTATCAAGACAGATAATTAGGGAGAGGAAACACAAATTTGATCCAATTCCTCCACTTCTGACCAAATTTCATTTTCTCTAACACACGATCCAGACAGCTCCAATTAACATGATCTTGGGCTTTTTCTTTGTCCAGCTTAACTCTAAGGCCCGAAGTTCCCTCCATTAATAATCTTGAGTCAATGATTTGCTATAAGGACAGAGTCAAGCATTTGCCTCCTGAACAAAATCAAACTGGTTATTTGAAATTATACTGCTCAACCCTTGTTTCATTCTTTCTTCCAACACTTTTGCTAGAATTTTATAGAAGCTGTTCAATAGGCTAATGGGTCTGAAATCCCTGAGGTAAAGCCCCTTCCAGTTTTGGGATCAAAGTTATAAAATACTTCTTTGCAGAGAAGCCCTATCATGAAAATCCTGAAAAACCTTAAGTAAATCAACTTGACAAAATCCCAACATTTGATGAAAAATAAGTTAGATAATCCATCTGGCCCAGGGGATTTGTCACCATCCAAACTAAAAATTGCTGCCTTGATTTCTTCTTTCAGAAAAGGGCCTCTCCAGAAGCTGTTTCTGTTCTGCACTTAGCTGTTCAAAAGCTAAATCCAAAGGGAAAGGCTTTCTGTCCCAAGTTTCCTTGTAAAGATTCTTATAGAAAGAAGTGGCTACCATTTTGATTTCAGTAGCTGAATCCCCAGCTCTTCAGTCTTCCTTCCCATTCCAATTTACTGATTGAAGAGGCTCTGACTCGAGCAATGAGAAGAAAAAATTTAATTGGCCGTGTAAGGACTTAGAGGTGCAATACAGCTGGGTGAAGAGAAGTGCTAACTCAATGGCTGATGGGTTAGCTAAGCAAGGGGTGGCTAAGGATTCTTTGTTTTGGGCACATTTTTAGTATTTTGTTATCATTTTGATGTTGGGGAGTTAAGATAGTTTACCTCCCCTTTTTCTGTAATTATTTTTCACAAGTATTATTCATTAATAAAGATTTCTGTTATGATAAAAAAAAAGAGAGGCTCCGGCTCGAGCATTGGCCATTTTGTGAAAGAAATGCGGAAGTGCATAAGAGCAGCTTTGTTGTGGATAGTTTGGGAAGAAAGGAACACCAGAATCTCTTGTGAAAAAGAAAGGAGCTTCTCGGAAGTTAAAGAATGTATTCTGGCAAGGGCAATTCAGTGGCTGAAAACACTAAAGCTCTTTGATGCATACTCCTTTGATGACCTATGGAGAAGCTGGTTAGCAGTGGCAAATACTTCTACCAGGAAGGACAGACATGGGGTTGAATGGATGCCACCAGGGGAGGAGTTTAACAAGCTGAACTTTGATGGAAGTAGCCGAGCAAATCTAGGACCTTCAGGCATAGGAAGAGTGATGAGAAACAAAAATAGTAGCATTATATCTTTGTACTCAGGTCCTGCGGGTGTGGGAGACTTTTTTTTTTGATGAATGAAGAAATTTATTAAATCAGAAGAAACAC